GTCGTCGTCGTCGTCGTGATTCGAGGCCACTAAGTTGGGCGCCAATGAAATGTTGTACTTGCTTTTCCTTAGATTGTAGTGCATAGGATTGGCTAAGCCAACGAATTATAATAATTTTTGGTAGCGACCGTAACCACTCCTTTATATGGACCTGTCCGATAGTCCGGACGAGAGTCGCATACAAAATTGCAGTGCTTCGATTAAAATAAACGCGTGTTCTTGTATTTTCTTTTATTTGCTTTATTAAGGCCAGTTGTCCAAAGCAGTATTGAACGAACTAGCGCGTACGAATGCAAAATGAAAATGAGCTCAGTTTCAATGCTTACATGAATATTTATAGGCAATCATGACAATGCCGAACGTCAGTGATGCATTTTTGCGTACCCAAATGCACAGCACAGGGTTGTATTTTCGACAGGACATTACAGTGAGTCCACATGTATATCAGATAACATAACATTTATGGTATAACATAAAACAATGAAGTAGATTAATATGTAAAAACGATGGTTGTTACAACGGTAATTTTTAGCCGTTTGAACCTTGCACTTTATTCCACTAGAAATCAATGGGCTACAAAATTGCATACTCAAAATGTTTCTAAGTAATCTAATAAAATGGGCGAAATTTTTACAAAAGTTTGGTGAATTTTCTTAATTTTGCACAAAGTTTGAAACCTGGATTTACACGGTTTTTGTTAAAAAATTAAACCCGTATATTTTTATAATAAAAATAACTAAAATTAAAAAACAATAAAAAGAAATTGTTAAAACTTGTCAATTTGTGGTGAGGCTAAAATTTTTTCAACCACTGTATGTATATGAAAGCCTGATGTGAGAGTGGTTCATTCACGAGCCCACCCACATCCAAATATACATATCTAGTTATGTACGTACATATAAATTTTCACGTGTTCAAAAGTTTGTCTACTGTTCTGTCGCTGGCAGCGTAGACTAACTTCCCTGCCAGCCAAAAGTGGTGAAAAATCTGGTGAAACCGCGGGTTTCGGTCACTTCAAAACTGGTGACAAAACTGGTGACATTTGTATGGGCGCTGTGCAGATTGTCACCACTTTCCCCCTGTACGTGAGAGCCTTGCATCACTGTCGCACTCATTCAGATACTTCGTAAGGAAAACATATAGCTGCACTCGTCTAGCATTGCCCCCTTCTGCCGGCTCAGGGTTGCATTCTCTTCACAGCGAATTCAAAATAACCTTAGAAACTTTAAATAAAAAATCCTAAAATGTTTTGATTTTTATTTTGCAAAATTTATTTTCAAAATGCATAATATACATACTTAATAACCAATATTATGAATAAAACTTAAAATTAACATTAATAAATATATTTTTACATACTGGCTTAATTTCTTATTATTAGTATTACTCATTTTCACATAGATGTTTAAAAAGTTGGAAAATTTCTATAAGAAAGTTAAGCGATTTTAATAATATTATAATCAAAAGAAAGGTAATCGATTTATCTTTCTTTTGATATATATTAAAAGTTGCAAATCATTTATAATGGTTCACAAATATTCAGTTTCATTACAACTTTGCAAAATTTGATTGCGTTTTTTCGACTTATATATAGACGGTTTCAAAAGTAGCAAAATTTCTATAAAAAAAGTTAAGCGATTTTAACAATATTATAATCAAAAGAAAGGTAATCGGTTTACCCTTCTTTTGATATATATTAACAGTTGCAAATCATTTACACTAGTTCACAAAAAATCTGTTTTGTTACAACTTTGCAAAATTTTACCACTTTTCCACTGCTTCTATATAGCTGTTTACAAAAGTTGCAAGGTTTTTATGAAAACGTAAAGCGATTTTAACGGTGTTATAATCAAAAGAAAGGTAATCGGTAAAGGTAAAGATGCAAGCGTTGAAGGTGCTGATCGTGAATCTGTAAACAAGCAAAAATATCAATTAAAATGTTTAAGCCGTCATCGATTCGCCACTTCTCGCTCGCTATGTTTGAGTTCCGGTCGCTTAAAGAAGAATTTTTTTCGCCACTCGCTAACTGTTGGCGAATCGATGACGGCTATAAACATATAAAAACCCTCAATACATACCTTAAGAATGTGACTAAGTCGCTGCTGTTTTGCAATCTAAAAGAAGAAATTACATTATAATTAAATGAAATTGTTAAATACGTATTCTTACCTTCAAAGTTTTCGTAGTGAAATTTCTTCACAGTATGTATACTGTCATCAAAACTCTGATGTTTCTAACTTGCACGCTCTAACGCATAGAATTCTTGTTAGAGTACGAATTCTTATCGGGTATGTAGCTCTAACAAAGGCACATTTTTTGACAGTTCGACGAAAAAATTTGTAAGTGTGTGGGTGAGATGACTAAAAAGTTGTGAATGTGTTTGTAAATCGTTTGAATTTTAGGGGAAGGTGGTGAGCCGTGGCTGGCAGGGTTACCCACGAACAAAAATTAAGCGCATGTGCCGATCTAAACCTTTGTGGCTACAATCAATCATATACATACACATGTTCATTACGGTGCACGAGGCCGCATCATCCCTGCGCGCACTTTCTTGAAGCGCGTACAAAAACTATGCTGTCTTCATTAAAGACACAGCAACCACCAAGGAACATTAACACCGCGAACCGAACCAGTTACCCCCATAAATGAAAGCAATGCTCACCCCCTCACACAAACACACACCTAAACTAAATGATATGCGCTATACTGGGAAAGGGATGCCTCCAAGTGAATGTCGATTGGACAGGTTTTCTATAAGTATTGTAAGGTGCAAAGTTTCTCTTAAAAGGAAATTGAAAAGAGAAAGCTCATAATTTACGGTTTGGACCAAGTATCGCCTGGTTAGCAGCTAAGCACCCACGTCTTTTTATATACAAGGAGAAAGCATTGAATCCGAACTAAAACTCCGTTTGTCTGCTGTACCGTATCGCCTCCGTACCATCGTAAAGTACTTCGTCGGAGGGCGGTTGAGCCTAAGCTCGATCTTAAGTTTCTGTTCTGATGCAGTCAGTCACAAGTTGCATCTACTTGGCACTACCCTCAGTTGTCGAAACTGGTCACGTACGTCGTTACTGTATCATGTATGTATATATCTATCATACCTGCTACCATGGTAGATTATCTTCGAATTGATCGGTTACGCTTTTGCCGTCTCAGCTTTGCAATGACTTTGCCGCGAATACGCGGAATGACTAGATACCACTTCTCTGTCTACTCCGTTATGGGCGGGATCAGGTTCTCTTGCGTTGGACTTACACCAAATGCAGCGCTGAGGAAAACTCGTTCCGCCTGCAAGTTTGGGCATGCCAGAAAAAGTATGTTCTGCATCTTGTACGCTTTTTTGGCCGTAGGTTTCTCTCATATAGGGCTTGTTGGAGTTACTATCACAACCGCAGTGTTGAGCGAATTATTAAAGTATCACGTTCTGTGTGAACTTCTAGCAATGTATTATCAGTTGAGCAGTTGCAACAATGTTGCCATTTTTCATCAGTAAGGCAGTAATGCCGCTTTTATTACGTGCCTCGAACAGGCCTCTAATTTGAAGGGTGGCAGGTTACAAAATCAACGGAAATAAGGTCACTATTTCGCATACTGGTGCGAAATTAAGTCCGTTGACATTATTGCTTTTTCAAACATTAGATTTGCGTAGCTTCGCGGCGGCCCTCGTCCGCGCTTCCACACGCCTTCCCCCCTTCACCCTCTCCTGCCGTGCTGTAAAGTAGGTAGATTTATTTTTTGTATGCCTTTTATTTAAATTTTTATATATTTAATATATTTTACATATTCTCCAATTTATATTTGTAAGATATTGGAAGATTTTTGCCGTGTTGACAATCAAGGCATTTTGCATCAGCGGAAGTTTACACAATTTTTGAACAGCATTCTGTTCAATAAGCTTCAATAATAGTGTTCATTCAATAAGCTTTATTTTTGGAAACGAAAGATGTTTTAAAAGTTCTACATGATTTATACATTGTTCATTCACGATTCTTTTCGCATCGTGTTTTTATTATATTCGTAATGTTAAGTTTTTTAATAAAATTAATTAGTGGTGGTTCATGATTGTCTTCATTAATAGCACTGAGGATTTGGCAATAACCTCTTTCATCTATGGAAACAACACATACGGGGCAATGTTTACATATTGTAACATTCATATCTCACATATGATGCAAGAACAACATGTTTTTATTGGAATCGACATACTTTAAGCTATGTTGACGCCATTTTCATTTGAATTACATGTTTACCATATTTCCAAATTTTTGTTGACTTTATTTCGCTTTTGAAAAGATAATAATGTCAATTGACTTTATTTCGCATCACTATGGGAAATAGTGCCAATTGACGTTGTTTCCGTTGATCTTGTTTTAAGCGGAAAAAGTACGCTCTAAAGCAGCCGTTTCCACTTTGAAGATGTGTGACGTTAAAGTCTACTTCGCCATATTTTCTTGCCAGCCAGCTTTATATGTGTGGTATGAGCTTGCGCGTCCATCCACCGCTAATGGAGTGAACCTATCGGTGTAACCAATGTTCTATTTGCGACGCCTCGCTAGCAATTTGGAGAACTATCCGTGCGGATCCGTGGTTTCAACTGCACGTTTCTTGGACCAAGGGTCCGGTACGATCCAAATCTGAGATGACCAGCGCCTTACCTTCCAACACCGTAGAAAATGCCGAGTAGACTCTTAGGGCGCAAAGTCTATAGACTGATTGAGTTCCCTTGATATAAGATTTCGTAACTCACGTAGTTGACCAAACCTCCGACCCGTAGAGAATAACGGACTTCAGAACTCCAGCTAGCAACTTCCTTACGTTATGCCTTGGCCCTATTGTGTTGATAATAAGTCTTGAGAGTTCTCCTTGGCTGGACACTGCTTTTTCGTAAATATAGTCCAGGTGGTGCATAAATTTCAGCCTTGAGTCGAATTTGATGTCTAGGTACTTGAGCTACTTCCGCACATCTTTCCACCTCTGATAATTATTTGGAACCCGATTATCTTTGTTTCCGCGGGAAAATGCCAACGCACAACGCTGTCGCACAGGAAGTTCCAAAGGAGTGGTGCCATCACCGATCTCTGAGGGACGCTAACCGTCCATTAGGGAGAAAGCAAATGTCCGAAAGCCAGCCCTGATGAGGCCTAATCGACACATTCAGCTTGAGGATTCACAAAGGTAATTAGGGTAAGCTAGGTTAGAAGCGAATGTTCGGGAATTGGCACGGATTCAAGCGGAAATATACCTCACTGAAAGACCGGTAAACTTGGATATTTAACGCTTGTCTCATAAACTTAAGAGCTGCGGATTGAGTTCATCATGGTCCCAGCACCGATACCTGCGGGACGCTAAGCGTCCATGAGGGAGAAGGCAAATGTCAGAAAGCCAGCCCTGGCGAGGCCTGCTCGACACATTCAGCTTGAGGATTCACAAAGGTAATTTAAGTGAACTAGGTTAGAAGCGTATATTCGGGAATTGGCACGGATTCAATCGGAAATATACCTCACTGGAAGACCGGTAAAACGCGGATAATTAACGCTTGTCTCATAAACTGAACAGCTGGGGATTGAGTTCATCAGTAGCCCCACCGTGACCGAGATGCACCGATA